AGAGCAGATATGATCTGATTTATACTTTAGAAGAACCCTCTTGCTGCTGTGTAGACAAAAGACAGGAAGAGGACAAGAGCAGAGGCAGGAAAACCAGAAAAATTGCTATTTCAACAGTCTGGGTAAAGTCATAGCAATCTGGACTCATCCAGGGGAGAGGGAAAAGACTCAATAAATTCAGGATATATTCTGGAGGTAAAACTGAGAGGATCTGCTAATGAGTAAGACATGGATGGGGACTTTCCCCAGGAAACAATTCAAGGGTCAATTTCACTCCTTTTTTGGGTAGGTAGGGTGGGAGGGGGAGAGAGTGAAGTAAATTAACTACAAAGAAATCTGAAATGTTCTTTTTATATTAAAGTATAGTAAGCCTTTAATAGCCACTGCTTTGAATGACACTGGCCCTCCCCAACTCTTCACAGCTTAAATGTGAAAGTCACAATTTAAATGTCAATTTCTCAGGGAGAAGTTCCCTTACCATCCTATATGTTGCATCTTATGCTCTCTCAGCCCTTCATATTTACCTTCCTTCTAAAATGTAAGTTCCTCCTCAGCAAGGCCCTTGTAAATCTGCCTTCCATTTTCTCCCTGTACCCAGCACAGGTCTGACACATGAGAACACAGGTTGAATGAAAGTACAAATACAGTATGGATCAAAATTTACATTTTACATGAATCTTTAATATAAAACTCGAGAGTCCAATGATGTCATCATTAGCCCTCTTTCTGATCAGAACCCTGTACCCTGAGATTGCTGTTCGCTCACCTTCTCTGAGCCTAGCAGTATTTTAGGGAATAATGTAGAGAAGTCCTAGTCTAGACCATGTCACTAATGACATTCTAGGTGCCTTGTGAAAACACAGCACATTAGCAAACAATAAGGTGGTCTGTGACTCTAAACAAAGCGAACATCTATCTTTCAAAATCTAGGTAAAATTTTATAAGGGAAAAACAGAAATGAATATTGTTAGTTTTAATTAATACTACTACAAGAACATTTCAAAAGGATTTTCAGATTAATAAAAATTTGTCTTTCACATCGAAAGGCAAGAATGAACAAAGGTAAGAAAAAGTTAACGTGCTCTGGTTCAATCTCTCAGCAGATGATAAAGAAAAACACCTTCATTTCAAAATGACAACAAATCCTGAAACAGAGCCATACAGAGAACTATTCTGCTTGGAACATCCCACGTCAAAGCCCTCTCTCTTTTGTAGACCAAGAGTTAACTATATTTCTGTGTCAATGTAGAACTGAAATTTTATCTGCCTCCATTTCTTAAGCATTCCCGCCGTACCCAACACCATGCTTCAGAAATGCATTTTTTCCTCTCCAGAAGATGATGGTAAAGGTTGGTGGGTGATAGCATTTTTAAACAACAACAAAATACTAAGAGGCTCAGAAGGTCACTGACTGTGAGGGTGAACTTGACCAAAGGAGAACTTGATGGCTAAGGTTTTTACTCACTAAATAACAAGGTCCATATATTTTACCATCTAAATCAAGGGACCTGACTGGCTACTCTTCATTATGTCAAAAGCTCACCCACACAACTATAAAATCAAGTAAAGAGGTTCCAGCTAACTCTTCCAAAACCAGATTCTCCATTTACAATTCTCTTAAACAGTGGGGACTTTCTGCCAGTGCAGGTAGCTTCCAAATGTCAAGTGGGTCAGTAATAAAATGAAAAGCCGCAGAGAAACTTTTTTAAAAGAGACATTTAAAAATGGGCTTTAAAAAAAACGGGCCTTAGCAGAGAACTGACTGGAACACACTGTGAAAAGATTACTCTGGTTCAGTACATGAATATTAATAGAAAAAAACCCTGCAGTGTTCATAAACAGTTATGATGATGATAATTACAAATAATGCAAGTCAAAATTCTAGATCAGTTACAAGTGCCTATAGTGATAGTCTATCCATACCAAGCAAAAATATTTTAAAACCCTACGGGTTAAAAAAAAACAAAAAACAAAACAAATTAAAAAAACCCCTATGGGTTTCCACTGACAAACCTATCTACCTAAACAAAGAAGACTTCTTTTGCTCAGATATCTGCCACCTTCCAATTTTTTACAAATGAAAATCGGGGAGTGCCAGACGGAAGGGCAACAGAGTACTTAAACATTAGAAGAGTCATTAAACCCACATCTGGGTTTCATAATAAAATAGTTTAGGTTCTTAATTTATGATTACTGTGAAATGGAAAGTTGTATGGTCGGTCCGGAAAAAAGAGAAGAGAAGTTAGAGGTTTGTGGGTAAGCGAAAGAAGTGCACTGTCAGCCTGGAAAAGGATTTCCGAAACCTTGTTCGTAGTGCAACTAACCCCTAATGAACGAGTAGTGAGAACTCTCGCCTCCACATGACCCATTTGTTTAATCTCGCCTCTCACTTCAGTTAAGTAAGAGCAGCAAAGAGACAAGTGCTGCTCTGGACTCCATCAGGCAAAAGCAGTTTGGAGAGAGGGCGGAGCGCTCCACTGCTGTCCTGGACATGGGGCGAGGCAGGCCCCTTTCTCACAGAGGTTGCTGGGGTCGCCGCAGACAGCAAGTGGAGGTTGAATGTCTCTAGCCTGGCATCTCCTGCCACCAAGTTCTCGAGTTCAGGACTGAGTTCAGGTATCATAATGTGTAGAAGTATTTCATAGCCAACAGTGAGCACTAACAGCCTTTTTTTTTTTTTTTTAAGTAAACATACTGTGTTTCCACCTATGACAAGAGGATTTTCTTCTTTTTGTTAATTACCCTCCGAAACAAGCCCACTCCCCAATACAAAGTTCAAAACCACCAAACACACCAGCTTTACCAAGCTAACCTTAAATCAACATCTTTGCTAAACTGGAGATCCTCTGTTTCATGAGACCAGACTTAATAAAGCAATAGAAAGAGCTTCCCATTTTATAGAGCTTTTTGGATTAAGAAAATGGATAGTAATTTATGTAAATACATCAATCTGAAATGACTTCTGTAGCATGAAAAGGAATAAATAATGCAGATCACTGTGTTTTGGATATGGCAAAGTCTCTGATGGAAATGGCAGGGATGTGTACACAAAGGTGAACATAAATAACCATGTGTATGATAAACGTGGTTGCTGGAGATGGACACAGATAAATAGGTACACAATTGGAAAGAGAGAGCTGCAGACAGAGGCAAAGACACTGGTTTAGCTGCACCTCAGCGAGTTCACAAAGGTTTCATGGTCTAAAAAAATCTGCGACAGCTGAATTTCTATTAAGAAGGTTTAAAAAGCTGGTTCCCACTCCTCTTGGACAACCTGGAATAATGCTATTTTTGAATACAATGAATGTGTCACCAAATGCACTACTGTGTAAAAAATTTAGGGTCAAAACGCAAGGAAAAAACAGGATCCTAAAGGAAGATGAATGCTTATTAAATATCTTTAAATATCTGGAGCTGTTTAAATGCTACTAGATTGGCACTTAGAACCCCCAAATACCTACTTTCCCCTGGGAAGGAGAGGCTATGCCTCTTCAATCATCCCTTAAATGTAAAGAGGTTTGACCCCCATGCAATGGATAAAAGTCACCCAAAAAATGAACAAAAGAGGTGTTTGGAAAAACCAGAACACCATTCATCCCAGCTAACGACTTGTTCATTATGAGTGATGATGGATAAAGACTTCTCATGCTGAGATGAAATCAAGATTTATATGCATTGTTTCCTCTCCCAACTTGTGGGAAGATCATCATCATTTAATTCTATCTCTGCGGCCAGTGATGGGCATCCAGAGAGCTGGTTATCAAACGGCGCAGTCAGCTGGCAAAAGCCGAAACGTGCAGTTGGCACATCTGGACAGAGCCGCCACAGCCGAGGGTGAACAATGACTCCTGGCAAGCATCCAAATTGCTTGCAGACGCTAGCAGGTCTCATCTACAACCGCCCCTACCAGCATCTCTCTCTCTCTCTCTTTTTTATGAGAATCAGATTTTCATTGCTCCATTCAATTGCTCTCCTCTGCCATTTTTTACAGCTCTTATCGTTCCCCTGGAATATGGCCTTGAGACAGCTCATCCGTGTCCTTCACTGTGTTATCTCTTCTAACTTTTATTAAAACTTCAGCTTTCATCTGAAGATAGCTAATTAAATCTGGAACAGATTATATGCCTCTCCTTAAAAAGAACACAAAACTATTTTCTTCAACCTGAGTAATGCATTTTTTCCTCTCCAGAAGATGAAACCAAAGGTGTTGAGGAAGTCTCATTTATTTACAAAGCGATGGTATTTGACATGTCATAGAGAGGTTGATTTATATTAAAGTTGTCTGTGGTATGACAAATCTTTGAGCTATTTCTCAAAATAATTATTTCTCAATACTGGTAATATTTTTTCCCCTCATATCTTTTAAATATCATAGCTAATACCATAAGCTTATTTTCTGTACAAAGTTGGGTAATGAGGAATTAAAGATTAACAGGTATTTGTGCACATCAAGTGATTTATCTTTAAAAAAAATTTTTTTTTACAGTTGTCCTCATTTGGCAAAAATGAAGACTGTTTTTCTTTTACTGCATACCCCAAACACTAGCAACTGAAAGTTTCCCCCATGGAAAATTACATGAAAACATGAAATTAAAAGCAGTCCTTCAAATTTAGCATTTGGTTTTTAAGACAGCTTTACACCAACTAATAGTTCAAATAGATATATCTTAATCTATCACACATTATTAATGGTGGAGCTTCCATAATCAATAGGAACATATTCTTCTCATACATGCCACCGACCCAAACCCTTCCTTGGGCCCAGGGGCAGTTTAAAAAAAAAAACAAAAAAAAACAACAACACCTTTTTTTTTTTTTTTTTTTGCTGTAGATCTGCTAACCAAACCTTCTAGCAATGATATCTAAAACAATCCAGCCAGCCCTCTCTCACACACACAGACACACACACACATATGCACATACTCATGCATGCACGCACACATATGCACATACCAAACACTTTTAAACTAATGGTTAATTTTCTATTTCCAGGGTCTCACCTGAAATTTTCTGGGATCCTTTTCTTCGCTTCACTGCCTTAAGCAAGATTTCTTTCATGGTGACCTTTGTGTTGTCCACCTGAATAAGGGAGAATCCATGAGCAGCATTTCTGTAGGAAAAGACAAATATTAAATCATCACTAACATTCAACCAGAGGACTGTTACTGCGGTCTTCATTGTGTTTAATAAAGTTTTACTGAGTGTACCTCAAAGTGCCAGTTATTTAAGAAAAACAGACTAACTTCTAATGAGAGAGAGAGAGAGGCTTTCTGGTATAAACAGTTCCAAGTGAAAGGAAGGTCAGAGTTAGGAAATGTTTTTCTAATTTATCTCAAATTGAATTTAATTGGTCTGTGTGGGTCACTAGTACCGTGGGTTACTCGTATTGGCTCCCAAGCCAAATCCTGGAACACGGATTGACAATAAACTTAGCTTGTGTCAGTAGATGTCACTGCAGGCAGATACTACCATCACATTAAAGCTCCTGGAGCCCTACAGGAAAAATGTCATGGGGTGAGGATGGTGGGTGGTAGGGGAGTGGTGGGGGAGGATGACAGCCCAAAGCAATTTAGAATAAGGAAAAAAAGGCTCTTCCTAAGTGGCTAGTAAATAAGTAAATAAATAAATTTTAAATATATGGTCTATATATACTTTAGTAGGAATGTTTTAGTCTACTTAGTCCGAGAAGGTCAAACAAAATATGAAATGAAGCATAAATAATTATAAGACAAAACACTAAGACTACTTGTAAACTTCTAGTCAGTCAAACTTGGAGGGAGTAGTTCATGTACATAGTGAAAAATCTGGTAGGGAACAAGTACCCTAAAAACAGAAGCCCATCCCTGGGTGAGGTAGAACTTCACTAAGACTGTTAATTGCAGTAGCAAGTATCACAAATACTACTCACTATGCTTGGGCACCAGAACAAAATAGGCCAATTCCAAGTAGCTCATCTAACAAATGGGACCCAAGTTTCCAACGATGGAACATGGGAATTACCACAAGGAGTTTGGTCGCATTCCCATTTCCTCATAAGAATCTCAAAGGAGAACACACAGCCAAAAAATATGGCAGAACTTCATACTGACAAGAAATCTGAAAGAAAAGCCAAGCCCCAAGCTAAGCCATGGAAAAGCTTCCCAATGGAAGGAGAGGCTGAGAAGAGGCCTTAAACCTGTTTGGGACCTAGTTTGGACCCAACCAGGTGGCTGGCTTTCCACAGGGGCTGGGGGGCCGATCTCAAAACCAAGGACCCAATTTGCTTCCCTAATACAAAGACAGCTCCACACCCCTCCTCTCCATACGGCTCGCTGTTTAATCCTTGACATTCCATTTGTTAAAAAGCAAAAGCCGACGCTGGTCTAGCCAGCATGATCATCCATTTTAACTTGGTCAAGTTCTTGCTATTGAACAGCAGGCCTGAGAACTGTCAAGCTAATTTTACTGAACACTCTGTTACTGAATCATGCCTGAGCTCCAGCCATTCTTTACCTCAGAAGCTGGACCCCATCCCAGAACAATCTTTAAAAGTTTATTTTACTGATCAAAGCAAAATAAGAAATAGCTCTTTTTTTAAAAACTATATTTAGGGAGCGATGCAGTAAGTGATACTTTGGCAAGCACACTGAAATGTAAAGTGCCTTGTGCATTTATAAACTTGGGGGTATTTGCTCTGGCGCGAGGCCAGGGCGTGTTTGGAACAAACGCCAATCATCCGCGTTCAGGCTTGTCTTCCCCTGCTCGCTCCTCAGAAGTCAGTATGCACTCCATCTGTGACAATATGTTGGGCGATGGGTGAGTGGGGCCTAAAAGGGAACACGAGTCCTCGGGTACACACAAACTAGTCCTGGGCTAGATCTCACAAACTTCCATCTACCTGGGTTCCACCTGAACTATTTTCGATTTGAGTCTGCTTATAAATCGCTTACATTCTCGCCTAATCTGCCGCTGGCTGACAGCATTATTTCAAACCAGTACGTTTATCTTTTTTAGCAAAGGCAGACTAGAAGCTCAAAGGGAAGTCTTGCGTTCGGACTAACTTCCATAAATTAAAAGTGTCCTTTTAAAAGATTTTTGAACACAGGAAAATCCCTCGTCTGTATTTTTCTGTCATTTTTCCAAAACGTACCTGGGTGACAAGGTTAAAGCAAGCAGAGGAAATCCCTGGCACTTATCATCCACAGGCATTACTGATAAATTGTGTGGTGGAGGAATAAAGGATTACCTTCTGTATTTTTTCATTACACTTTTCTTTTGTTACAGAATACATAAATCCATTGTGGCACAATGTAATATGTATCACCATGCTACACCTGCGGACGCTTCCGAGCGGCTGCCATGTCTGTGCAGTCAGGAATGATAAGTGAACCACCCGTGAATGTTAACGATAGTGATCATTCTGAGGTAACTCGGCTCTCCATCTTCCTTTACAGCCTCCGTGCTGAAGCCAGGGTAGCAAGGTTCATGAGAGGAAAATGAAAACAACAGTGGAGGGAAGGGGCACACACGGCGCTCGGATCGTGCCTGCGCGAGTGTGTGGTATCTCACTCTGGGGCTCCATTCCGGTAAAATCGTGCACATTAAAAGGAGAAAGAGGTTGTGACCCAAGCACTGCACACTCAACCGGACCTGATGAAAGCTTCCTCGGGTCAGTCTCCCACTCTGCTCGCTTCCTGCCCTCCAGACAAACATCAACTCCGGATCTTGCTCCAAGTCTACGGCACTGAAGGGGGCAACACGTTTCCAAAATACAAGAGCACGGAATCAAAGGGGTTCTCGGAAGACATCTAGGTGCGACTGTTAAGTTATGCTCCCATTTAATAAATGGATATGGAGACTTGCTTCCGCAATTTTCAGCTTGACTTCCAAACATTCTGAGTTTTATGCCTCATTTCTTTATATCCAGGAATTTTTATGGGCTTTCGAAAAAGTCTATTGAAATACATCTTTTAGAGCTGCTTTTTATTGAACGTTGGGCATTGGGTGTGCGACTGAGAAGACACTGATCTCGAGAGAAAAGCTGGCAGCAGGTAGGGAGGGCACTCGCTGGTCCTGTCTCCCTTCCGTGTGGCCCTGCATTCCAGGCTCTGAGGTGTGACCTGTGCTGAGGGTGGCTGGCCCTCGGACAGACAGGCGGATGGAGGGACAGATGGACTACAGACCCGGACTCTCGGCTCAGAAACTGCTCCTCCTCCCGCTCCCCTCGTGGATAGACGGCTTGTCTCCCACCACAGCAGGGCACGCTGGGGGCACTGAGCACAGGCAGCTGCCCTCTGCAGCTCCGCGCGCTGCCGGCGCCGGGTCTAGGAGGAAGCGCCACGTCAGGCAGCTGACTGAACGCTGCCAGGAAGGCTTCAGTCACTTCGAAGTTAGGTCCTGTCAGGTCTTGCAACCACTGAAAAACGTACGGGCATTTTAAAAAGAGATGACTCGCTTGAGGAATTTAGCTCTGTCCCAGTGCAAAGCCACTCAGTTACCAGAGGGGAGTTTTTATACCCACATTAACCTAACACGATGAGCATTTCTCTGCTAAATATTAAACCAGAGCTGATGGGGCACAGGTCCGTATCCGGAAAGCTTAGTTTCTATTTATAGGGACAGAGCTGGAAACAGAACCCAAGTTGGGAGGCAACATACTGGAGAGGAAAACACAGGCACTGGGGGGTTAAATACCCCTTGGTTCAAGTTCTCGTTCCGTGGCTAACCAAAACGTTGCCTTAACACGTGGGAACCTCTGCTGCAGCCATGAAACGAGGAGGCCGCTTCCCTACAGAACTGTCAGAGAGGATAAAATAGACAATGAATGGCAAGCACCTAGCATTCGGGTTGGCAAACAGTAAAAGGAGCTTAGAAATGTTAGTGCTCTCATGTTCCCCGTGTCCTAAGTCATCTCTCCAAGAGAAGAGGCCCTATTCACCACGCCCCCTCAAACCCTCAGCAGATACTGCTTAGTTGGGGAAGGATCCCAACCATTGCTTACAGTTGGGAACACAGGGCCATTAAAATGTGCAACCTGCTGGGCATGAGAGCAACAGTCAGGCGCGCTGTAAGCAAGCAACCCCTGGCCCAGGCATCAGGCCCCCTCTGAAGCTCACAGAAGAGCACTCAAGCCACCGTTTTTCAAGGCTTTCACTTTTGAGAGAGTGAGCCAGGGAAGTGGGTACCCTGTACCTCAGCTTAACTCACTGGCTTTGGATGGGGATGAGGAAAGTCAAAAATCATGGGGGTGTGCAGGGAAATTCAGTGAGACTTATTAAGAGCTTTCTGAGCTCCACAGTACAAGTTATTATTCAGCAATCATGACAGTAATAACAGCAACTACTACCCACTGAATGTTTACGATGTGTCAGATGCTATGTTAAGCTTTTAAATCCTGTATTAACTCATTCAATCCTAAAACAGGTGCTATTGTTAGATCCATTTTACAGAATCCGAGGTTGGAGGCACTACAGCATTTAATCCAAAGTTCCTCTATTAAAGATCTTTTTTGAATTCAGAAATCAACACTATGGTCCCTAAACCAAGGAGCACAGTGTAGTGGGAGAGAAAGACAAAGAAGCAAACAAAGACTTATACTGCTATGCGGTAAGTACAAAGAAGGAGGCCAGCTCCGAGTGCTACCAAACACAGAGGCACTTGGCCAAGCCATGGAGGGGTCAGGGGACCAGAGAGCTTCTTAATGGAGATGTCTCAAACAGTGATCATCCAGCCCTGTATCACGCTACGGAAGCTGATGGTGACCGGAAGGCAGCAAAGCACAGCACAGCCTAGAGTAGACCCTGCTCTGGAGTCCCAGCTCTGGAGTCCAGTCCCAGCAGTCCCTGCTCTGGAGTCGGGGGTAAATGACACAGTCTCATTCTCTCTAGCTTCTAGTTTCCTCATCTACGAAACGGGGATAATTCTTAGAGCAGAAGATTATTGTGAGGGCTAAATATCTGTGAAGTAGTTAACACAATACCGGTTATATAATAAGTGCTTAATAACCATGACTTTTCTACGTACCAAGAAGTGATAAATGAGATGAGGACAACTGTCAACATTTACTGAGCACTTACTTTGTTCATTTAATCCTCCCAGAAAAGGTAGGTGCCATTATCAGTCCCATTTTAT